CGTACTAATATTCCGGTGCTCGCTTGCCTATAAATTGTATGGCCCCCTATCCCCGGCGATTCTCTGAGCCACTAGTTCCAAGATTTTTGTCAGCTATTATGTAGTGAATATCAGGTTTTGTCACAAGAAAAAGTGCAGTGAAACGTATCATTAAATCATGCACGATTTCATGACCCTTGAATTTTCGAATCAAATCTCTGTACTTTTGATGGCAGGTCTTATGCATGCATGGAGGCTTGTCCCCGGAACTTAGTCACCTCGATGTTATTCGAAATATACCACGTCCATGTGAACCTCTTGATCGCGGTCTTCTTATCGACCTTACTTGGTCCGATCCTACCAACAAAGGAGAAGGATGGTTTCATTCAATAAGAGGTGATTTGCCAATGTTAATTAAACTATAAACTATTTTTTGTTGCAGGAATTAGCTACATGTTTGGCAAAGGAGTGGTTCAGCAAGCATGCCAGATGCTTGGAATTGATTTGATTATTAGAGCTCATCAGGTAAGAAGACTAAGATTCTCTTCCGCTCAGCTTTTTTATCAGGTTGTGCAAGACGGATATGAGATGATGGCGGGCAGAAAGTTAATCACTGTCTTCTCAGCACCAAATTACTGTGGACAATTCACTAACGCAGCGGCAATAGTGTGTCTCGACGAAGACTTACAGGTTTAGAAAAAGTAATCTTCAAACATTATTTCAAAAATCTTTCAGATCACCTTTCAACAAATGAAAATGCAAATTCCGGCCAATCTTGCGCCGAAAGCTCGAACCGCTCCAGCAATTGCATGTGACACTAATCCGACGAACGCTAAAGCGGACAAGGAATTTATAAAACCATTCACTGTGTGTTACAAGTCCACTTGTCTTGTTGTGTGCAATATTATACAACCGGTTTGTGTTTAGGGGTTCAAATCAAAAGGAGCATCAACAACAAAAACAGAAGAAAAAGAAAAGCCAAAAACAGAAGAAAAAGAGAAAACAAAAACAGAAGACAAGGAGAAGAGCATGAAGACTGCAAGAATGCCAGTTGTAGAACAGGCTACAGAAGAGAAGCCAAAAACAGAAACTGCCCCAGCACCTTCGTCGAATGCTCCTACATCCTCTGTGCCTCCAGGTCCTGATGCTAATGAAAGTAATGATAAAAAAGAAGAACAGGTAACGTTTACATTAGATAAAAGCGCAGACGGAAGATAGATTTACAGACAGACAAAAATAAAGAGGAAGCTAAGGAAGAAAAAAAGCCTGATCAACCTGAAAACAAAACTTCTGATAGTAAAGCAGCAGATAGTTAAACTTTACCTTCATCATATTCAACAACGACGTTGGTATTGCGAATAAAAATTGTG